ACACACACACACACACACACACACACACACACACACACACACACACACACACACACACACACACACACACACACACACACACACACACACACACACACACACACACACACACACACACACACACACACACACACACACACACACACACACACATACACACACACACACACACACACACACACACACACACACACACACACACACACACACACACACACACACACACACACACACACATACATATACACACACACACACACACATACATATACACACACACACACACACACACGAGGATGTCTACCGGATGCCTCCCCGTGGAGGTAGTCCGGGAATATCCAACTGGGAGGAGAAGTGGGGGTCAAACACAAAACACACTGGAAAGATTACACATCCCGATTACACTTGGAAAGCCTTGGGTTCCCACCAGGAAGAGATTTAGGATGTCACTGGGGCAAACTGATGTCTGGTTTACTTTGCTCAGCATACCACTGTGATCCAGGCCCGGAAAAGCAGTGGATATAGATGGATGAATAGATAGGACTGTTCACTTTGGAGATATAGACCTCTAGTAGCGCTATGGAGCTGTTTTTGTATCAACAGTCCCGCTTTGTTTTATCACGAGGATGCACATACAGGCGCACGCTGCCAATGGTGTCACTCTACTCCACTGATCAAAAGGTGGCTGTAATATGCTCAGTGCGCCAAAGAAGGCAATGAAGAGAACAATGCTGGATTAAAAATACTTTATGAGAGAGGATATGCACCCGGCACATATGTTAGCCCTCAAGGATGAACGCAACACTTTTTGGTGTGCAACACTGAACGTAGACATAACTTTTGTTTGTTCAACAGAAACCTCCACGGAGCTCCTTCAATTGACTTATTCTATTTGAAGCCGTGCATACAAAGGCAGCTAAATTCATAACCTCTGGCTGATTAGAAATGATGATCAGACAGATCAGGAACCAATTTCCAACAACATGTTATGGAGGTTTGTCGCTGACAAAGAGCACGTAGTCCGGAATGAAAAGCATGCCGTGCCCTTAATCTATCAACTATTTTGTATTTTGAAAACCTTGTCAAATGTTGAAAGGTGGTGTGAAATATATCAAATGTTGAAGAGCTTTTTGTGTGAGTCTTAACACATTTCTGCACAGACTTTTACATGCAGATTCTTTGCTCATCTATCAACATAAGCATGTGAGCTCAAAACCACCAACACTTCCCTAACGAAAATGTTTATGCCTTCATTCATCTTGGTACACTTACACTGTGAATTTACAAGGTAGAGGCACTAGTGCCGACAATTTGCTCCACTTAATAAACCCTAAACACTCCCTGGATCCCCCGTGTTTGAGTTTGAGGATCGAGCCCAGCAGTATCAAAGAGCAGCGGGAAAAATATGCGGAGTGACAGCACTGTCATATCAATTCTCACCCCTTCCAAAGACACATCTCACTTTAGGCTGAAGTGGACAGATAGGGCCTGTGCAAAGCCACTGTACAAATAATTGCTAGTGCATAGTTGCACCTGTCAAATGCGGTTAACCATCTGGGTTTCCCGTAGACAAGAAAAAGGGAAGAGAATAGATAAGCTCCATTTAGTTTGGGAGGTGATGTGCCTTAAATTGCAGTGGCAGCTGTAAAAGGGATTGTGCTTGCACACTGAAGACACGGAAAGTGAGATAAAGGAAAGCATCAGGCTGGAGAGAATAGTCTTGGCAGAGGTGCGTCAAAGCCATTGAGGCCATCGTTAATTTGAGGAGCGAAGTAAACAGTTAACTCGGAAGGATGAAATGTTTTCGGCACTATGTATTTGCGTTTTTATATCACAAAACTATGAGGTGACTTGTTTTTCACTTGTAAGCACACCATATACATTTAAAAGGAAGTAGGACGTCAGATATTGAAGAGACACAACTAAATTCCCTTCACCCTGTATCCGTAGCAGAGTTTATAGAACATCTATTCATAGGTGCACAATTCAAATGCCCAGACCGTAGAGCCACTGCTTGAGAATATGGATCAAAGGATGATTGGACGTGGTGGCGCGCATGTCGAGGCACTGTCGCTGTCCCTAATGCGCCGTATGCACGGGCTATCAAGGCTGTGCGTGTTAACGGAAGCCTGGCCTTACTGTGTTGTGGCAGTCGGCATTGATCAGCTGCAGCAGCTGGCTCTCGAACTTCTCCAGGGACGGCTGGAGGGAGACGGTCAGTCTGTTCAGGGTGAAGGGCAGCATCTTGAGCAGCTGAGGCCTCAGCAAAGCATCTCCTGTTGACATGAACATACAAGTATCTAACATGTCAACGCGGCATGACATTTGCATGATTATATCATATTTAGAGCTCTCCTGGGTTTAAAATAGGATTCCTCTTCCTGTGGTTTGTTCATTTTTATTTGTTTAAGCTCAGACAACATCTTCTTCTCTTATGGCTGCTGTGGAGGAAAACCACCATGTAATATAATAAATGTATGAAACAAGTGGTGAAATATATTTCAGTATATTCCTATGTGTGACCCATTTGCAAAGTTCCATGACATTCTCCATCATCCCCAGAACATTTATCAGAAGAGAGGTCAACTAAAAAATGCATGGTTTGATACAGTGTTATAGCCAGTTATGTGTGTGTGTGTGTGTGTGTGTGTGTTATCATATAAAGTGAGCTGAACTTTTCCACGTTACTCACTTCAAATGTTATATACTTCTTGAATGTACAGTTACCATTTTGTCGTTTGTATTTTTTTCACCAGGCTTGACTTATTGTGATATTTCATACTGGATGAGGAAACGAACCCCCCTTTTTTGGCAGCAAATGGTTACACAATCAACCCTTGCTCTTTGATTTTGCATATATTTAAACACAACTTTTCAAAGAGACAGCGGCTCCATCTAAATGACTGCTTCGTTGATTTGTTGTAAGCTGCCTAATGCCAACAACTAGGATATTTACACCACAGACGAGGACACCGGTACTTGGTGTCAAACAATACAAAAAACACTGTTTACATCTGGACGCTTGGCTTAAACTGAATCAGAATGGATTGGAGAAGCTCGGACGCCTGTGAGGTCCACAATCACCCCTTTCAGACACAACAAAGAGGAAAATAGCCAGCGTGATTCCAATCTCTTCAAGAGTAATGTAGCCATCAAGCGTTTCATTGCGGCCCTTGTCTCTGGAGCGCAGAGTTGAACTTGTTCTGAATGCGGCATGAATATCAAACCGGTGGCTGTGGTCTTAAAAGGCAGCTTAGGTCTGTGCTGCTCACAGCCCCAGAACATGAAGAGGATTAGCCGGCTACCATACCTCCCACTGACTCCCAATGATTATAGCTGCGCACTGTCAGACTCCATTACGTTCCCCCTTACAAACTTACTTTCTAAGTACCGCAGACATTTCAACTTCTGATGGAACTAAGTTTCCAAAAAATGGCCACTTTTAAGTGTCATGATGAATGTCCTGTTTGTTATCTTGGCAGTTGGAGAAACACAAGTGAGCAGCTGCAGATCTGTGTTTACCTGATAAGTGCTGGAGGTGTTGATGAGCCATGTCCTATTTTGATTAATCTAGCTTGAGGTTTGATGGCCTTGTTGTTCAATTCAAATTTGTAACATCTGTACAGTACCTGTAGTGGAAGAATCAAAGGAGCTCCACTATTGATTACAGAACCACTGAATACAAATATGTAATTAGCTGCACAGTGAACACACACTGACTGTTTCCATCAATATAGATTTGTTTTTGTTCTTGACTGAAAGAAGTATATATTGAACGAAGGAGTGAATACAAAGGACGACACACTGAACAAAAAGTCTGATTTGTGTCAATGGATAAAAGCCCCAAATCCTGAAAAACACAAAGTCGGTACCAGTACCTCAAAACAGAGACTGACAGAACTAAGAAGCAGTTACCTTGTAGAGCTGCAGTTTGTGCCGAAAAGGCAAATAAATCAAGGAAAAATGTTAAAGAGACACAGGCCACATCCCACTCACACACGTGCTGTTAACAGTACTGAATCTAGTTCTAAAAATCAAATGTGTTTGAAATAATCTTGATGAGAATAATAGGGACGCCACTCGATCCGAAGGTAAACAAATCAAATTCGTAAAAAGTCGTCAACTGAATCGAACTTCTGACGCATTTTCCTGTTTTGTGTGTTTCCATCTTATCCTGATCATTTATCCATCTTTACATTATTCAACAATATCCACATCTAGGAGTAGCACAGCTACATTACAGTCGTCTAATCTTGCCGACTGATGCCGTCCACAGAAGTAACTGTGAGTCAGAGATCTTAACATATCCTAAAACAGCATCTGTTATTGTAGGGGGAGCGTACTGCTCGTGCTCTGACCTTCCACCTTCCCAGTGATGTGGAGTTTACCTGTTGGAGAAGCTGCAAGGCCGGGAATGTTCTCATTCCCAGATGTAAGGACATTCTCTGGCAGGAGGTGCATCACGGAAACCAGCGCGGGGTGGTTTTTTATCGCACAGTCCAAATGTGCTCCATCGATCGTCTTCAGGAGACTGCTGTCTGCAGAAAAAGATATACAACACATTTATGTAGAACTGTTTCACACGCATTTCATGACAAACAAGCAAACCGCCACTCTGAATACAAACGAGTTCGATACGATACTTCAGCCCGCCGTCATCCCCAACACACCCAAAGAATCAATCTCCGTGGCGCTTCGGAGTCTAATATTTCCCCAAAAGCAATGAGTCACAGACAACATGACACCAAACACGCAGACCATTTTTCAATATTCCATTTGGGCATTGGTGACCTAGGTGCAATGTTCCATTACGCTGCGAGCATCGTTTTCCGGGCCTTAAACTGAAATGACAACCATTCAACTTGGAAAAAAAAAGGGCGCTCCTCCGGAAGAGCGCTGCAGCATAGATGAGGCGCGAGGCATGAGCAATGTGGTTGTCATCGTTCAAGCAGGTCGTCCAATGACAAGCGACGCCTCGCAATCCCAGCCATTAACACGAAACGCAGACTATTCGGAAGGTGAGCAAAGTGGTGTTTGATGCGCTGCATATGTTGGCTTCCTTTTTCGAGCCTGAACAGCATCGCAATCTTTCACTCTGACGGGGGGTTAATGATCGCACCTTCAAAAGCATCAGCGACAATCAATACAGGGTGCTTCATTCACCCCCATAGGCTGTTGTGACAAGGTGACAGACAGTGAAACGGTGGTGGTGTCTGAAAACATTGCATTGTTGCTGATTTCTGTGAATTCATAGGTGTGTATGCAGGGCAAAGGTGTTCACTGCTCAGGAACAAAATACTGTTTCTATCTGCCGACGACTAGAAACCCAAGAGAGCCTCCAGAGAAGCCTGCCATCCTTCTGGCTTCAGGTTGTTCGGAAGACTACTCATTTCCAGCATGACATCACATGACATCAACCTAAACGTGCATCAAAGCGACGCCAGGTCTGTTTGAAATCCAAGGAAGAGTCAGGATTATTGACTTGCAAGGCTTTCCCCACCACAGTCACCACACCCCCAAACACTTTAAGGAAAATATGAAACGAGAAAAGATGAGACACACTTAAACATCACAAGACACTGTGGATCCTCTGAAAGAGTGCTGGAATAATGTGCATTTTCACATTCTGCAAAGGCGTGGAGACTAGATACCAGGATTCAAGCTAAATATTAAGACGTTCTAGACTCTGCAGACTGTACGTGCTGACAAACGTGCATACACATTCATGTGTGCCAACATCTTGAGTCATGTAGCCATCACCGTCCATGTCCGTTTTGGAGTATATCTGGCATTTAGTGTACAGCAGATAAGCAAGCGATCTTACCAGCCATCAAAATATGCAGCTACAGCATCACCGTTCTAATAAAAACTACCACTAAAGTAATCCACACAATTTATATTAACTATAGAACTATTAACTATATGCGTCAGTCAGCTTTTAAAACATTAGTGCATTTTTCTGACTGCCTTACGAACTTTAAAAGCAAGTTTATTACCTGGAATAGAGAAATAAAGTCCAAACTTTTGAAAGGAAGAATCTAATTTGTTCAGATATTGGTAGCTTCACAATGAATTACATTCAATACATTTAAGACGATTTAAGACATGACGTTACACTTCAAAACAAACCGGTAAATCCATTACTTACACGTTTATGCTCCTAAGATTATTCCTCAGAAACCGCAGAAGTAATCGTTTTACCAAGAAAATAAATGCAGTAACATAAATGGATCACAAGGGGTTCAGCGGAATAGCAGGAATAAAAAGAAAGTTGATTCTATGTTGAATTTATTTGAAATAAATGGTATCTTATAGACTAGAGGGAGAAATACATTTATGTTGTTAAAGAAGTTATTTTTTAACGACCGTTCCTGCTGTGGACTGCTTTTCATCAATTTCCATGGAAGAGCCAGTGCCTTCATCTTTAAGTCAATGAAAGAGGGATTGAGAAGGATGAAGAAGAAGATGATGGAGTTGCCGTGTTCTCCTCCCCTCCCTTTCCATGACTCATCCCAGCCAAACCCTTTAACTCAGTGAACAGTAAACTTACTACAAACAAATTGCTTATGTGTAAAGCTTAAAAAAAGAAAAAAAAAAAAAAGGAAAACGGTTTGGGTAAATCTCTGAGGCTGCAGCACCACATCGACTCTGTTATACAAACGTTCTCAGTGATGACAGCAGCTTTCGTTGAAAAGGTGTTTCTCACCACAGACAGAAGAAAAGTAGGGCGAGTACGAAGGGAGAAGCAGCGAGGGGGAGAGAGTCAAGCACAGAACTTTCTTGACACAGATGCTGCCCAGGTGTCAGCAACTTTTTTCATCATTTATTTCTTGCAATTCATTATGCATCAAGCTTGGGTTTCAGTCAGATGCTGCGCATGCATTAGAAAACTACCACAAATTTCCTTACAGCAGCGGTGTCGTACCTCAGAGTCATGCTGAGCAGCATCTTGGCAAGAGATGTGAAACCAAGGAAGTGGAGGGAAAAATGGCTCAGCATCAGACAAGAAGAGGCAGTGGTTTGGGGAGGTGGTTGAGTGGGAACGAGGAAATGATAAAGATGAAAACAAATGGGGTGATATTTGAGAGCCGGTTTTACTGCAAACTCGGGTATACGAGTGAAGGGATTTGAAGCGGTGACTTGCATTTGTTTCTGTGTTTCGGCACTGCAGCAATCACTACTTTGGTGCTTCTGCATGTCACTTGCCGGAGATCACTTGTTAAGCAGTGAAGCTAGCACGAGGGATGTAAACAGCAAGCTTTGCCACAGCTCAATTTGTAAAACAATTCTATATTTGGTGATTTGGGCTTAAATGATTAGCTGCTTTACTTTTTTTATCCAGCTTTGTAAATTGTTTGGAGTCGGATTGGTGGCCAGAGATATTAAGCAATCTCAAAAAACGTCCACTCAGGCTCTCGGAAATGTTGATGCGCATGTTCCACTGATTTCCAGACCGATTTTTGAGGCTGATACTGAGAGATATTTTGGAATAGAAACACCTGATACGATTATATATCAGCCAATATTTCATACACAAGAACATGTAACTTAAACATGCAATAATTCATTTCAATTTAGTTATTAAAGAATTATTACCAACATATGCACTGGAACATAATACCATAAAAAAATGAACTTGCTCTCTGGTGGACAAAGCATAAAATCTCTGTGCCGTTTCTTTTTACCTTTCAGCAGACACATGCTGATACCAATACGTGTATATCTGCAATTGCTAATATCAGCCAATATTAACTTGGTGAGAACGTTGATGTAGAAATAGGAATATAGCAGCGCCTTGGTAACCAAATAGTTACAGTATAAGAATAAGAAAGCAAAATGATGTCTTCCTTGTTCAATGAGGGGGTTTTGCTGCTTCAGATACCGCCACAGCAGTACACAGATATCTTGGTCTGTTTTAACAAAACTGTTGGTAGAAATGGTTTTGAAGATCTGGGACTAGTTTGAATCATTATCAATCACTAATAGAGATCTGGAACACACACGTAAAAGCACTGTTTAAATGTTGTAAAGCAAAGTTTGCCCCGTCGTAATATGAGCCTAAAGTGGAAATGTTCCAGGTGGAGGAGCCACAACAGGGGTTGTTTAACTTCATTACGTTTGTTGGAAGTTTGAAGTTCACCCAAACAGCAATAAAGCTTGGCGTAGGTGGTGAAAAACAAACACTTACGTGGGTTGCCTTTGAGTCAGATATGCAAGGAAAACCCTTTTGAAGGCACCAGTAAACCTTTTTATCTTCGCCACAGGATTTTCTTTGGTATATCAGTGAGAGCATTTGTCATGGCATTACCTCTCAGTCCCCCCCCCTCCACACACACACACACGTACACACAATAAATTGATTCATCGTGGTGTTAATTCAAATTAGGATATGCTAATGCGAACACAATGTACCATCTGTTTGTCCTCCCATCACACCAAGAGGACCCCAGAGCAGCCCTCCATCCTTCTTATTCTATTTTTTCTCCTCTCTGCTCCTTCCCCTTTCCTCCCAGTTGGTCGAGAGGAGAAGCTTAGATCAAGCCAATGAGCTTACTGCCTCCATTCGTGCTTGTTTCCTCCTCCCTAAGACTTTCAAAAGCCCCACGGCAACTTCCTTTCCTCTATCTTCTCTTCTTTTCCCATTTCCTGCCTCTTGACCCTGACTCCAGCTCTGAAAAATAGGGATGCTTTGACTTCTCTGCCACTACCACTCTATCTCTTTCTTCCCTCGTGCTCCTTTTTCTGTTTCAATTCAGGCCCACTTGTCTCCAATTTATATTTCAGCATTTGGGTTTTCTCCATTGATCTCATACTCGCAGGTTAAAACTGCGTTTAACCTATAACTTGCTTTCATTTTCTGCTGAAAAATGTTTATCAAAAATGCCTCTTTTTCAGAGCCATGAAAAAAGCTTGTTTGTTTTTTTCTTGCTTTTAGCAGCACCACTTAGTATCTTTGAATCAGCCCAGTGGCTGTATTCTCTCAAATCTCATCCATCTATTTCATTATGTAATCTGGTGACAATCATGACAATTATAATTAGAGTCATGAGAATCTACCCATCCCATTCCCTTACATTCCCATTTTTCCACCAAGTTAGCAAACCCTCTCTACTCTCCTCCTTCCTTCTTCCTCTTCTTCATGTATTCATGTTCTATCCCTCATTCATTGGCCCATCCCAAAGGGGGGAGTGTGTGTGTGTGCGTGTGCGTGTGTGTGTGTAGCTCAGCCAGTGGCATAGAGCCCTGCTAGGCAGTAGAACATAGAAACATGCATTGTTTGGCAGCCATGCACCTACAGTATATACCCTGCCTGACCGCACTCACACTCTGCCAATTGCATCCCCCTTCTCTCTCACACACACACACACACACACACACACACACACACACACACACAGTGAGTGGCACTTCTCTGCAATGATGGCGGGCTCTCAACGCTGGCATTGTCATTGCAAAACTATGGACTCTGTTGTGACAGAAATATGGAAGATCTCAATAAATGCATCCATTAAAATGACATTTCTGTATAAACATGCTGTACAATTGCATGTAAATATGAGTCTTTCTTGCTGCCCCTATACACTTCTATGACTTTAACATGGCCATTCTTTTACGTGCCTGATAAGGCCGGCGTTATTCTTTATATTTCTTACTGTCAACAAACGTGTTCTCCACCCTCGTCTCTAACCTGTAGAGGTGAGAATCTCATCTCATGATTCAATTCTAAACCAACAGATCCCTTTTAACAGCGGCCATTGTCATAGCTGGGTAAACACAGGTGTCACTGATGAAATGAATTATGGTCTCATTCTATTTTGTGTCTCACAGCCATTCCGGTGAGCCAGCATGCACAACACCAGAGCAACCCCTGAATGGAACAGGGTCATAATTAATGTTATCAACACCTGTGTGTACCCTGCTTTTGGGTGCACCTGAATGATGCACTAGTGCACCCAAATGAAAACGTTAAGATGTACCAGTGAAACTAAAGTAGCGCTTTTCTACCTGAACAGACAAAAGCACTTTACACACCCCGATGTCAGCAGAGGTACTTTGCACGGCGCTGGCCTCTCACACTTGGGGTTCAGTGACTTTGCTCAAGCGCGGCTTTCTAAAGTAGTTGGCACTAGTGCGATTCAAAATGTTGTCCAACTGTTCTAAGTAATGAAGCTTGCTTGGAAATTGAATCGTCTCTTTTCTATTCGGTTTTCCAATTAACTAGTTCTCTTTCAGGTCTCTGTGTGTGTGTCGCCCAAAACAACCGTGTTTACCAATTGTTTTTTTCTGGAATGAAAAAACATTGCCCTTGTTTGCCATTGACATTAAAAAAAACGGCACTGTCGGCAGAATGGCTCCAGTAGATGTGGTCTGGTGTGAATGTGTAAAGTGGCCTGGGTTGACATAAATTATTATCCCCGTCCTGTGCAGTTTAAGAGGTGAAAGACTTATTTAAAGCTCCCCTTGCACTGCAGAGCGCCCTGAAAAGTAAAATACTTTTCTAACGTTTTCAAAATCTTTGTAAACCCAATATGCAGTGTAGCTATGTGTAAATATGCTATGTTATGCATGTTGCATGTGGGGAAAGTCATGCGGCAAATGGTTTGGCCAGCTGGGAATTGAACCGGGGACTCGCCCATAACATTGTTGATTGATTTCTTAGAAACTGAGTTACCACAAGGTACACTCTCTTTTCATTCATCCGTCTTTATTGTGAGAAGAACCCAGTGAACTCATTTTCCGTTCGACAATTCTCAGTGGATCGTGAAGACAAAGACGTCAATTCTACCGCGAACAGCGGACAGAACGTTGACCTACCTGTGTCCTCCAGAGGACGGAGTACAATTACTGGCCTTGGAACGGACAAAAAGCCCCATTGTGTAAATGATAGGGCTGAGGTTTGTTTGATCCTCTTATACTAGCATACCAGGAAAGTTCATACAGCATGAACACAGCATACGCTGAAGACATAATTGGAAGCCCTTTTAATGCCCCCCGAAGACACCGAGGGACGAACACTAGCTCATGCTAATCAATAGCCTGCTGGTCAATATCAGCTTCTTTCAAAAAGTTTTTCTCAACTATACAAAATCAAGTAAATGTTTGAAAGTTGTTATGGCCCAGAGTGTGACATTCAACAAGAGGAAAAGTCCAGATCTCAGATCTTCTTGCACTAACAAATCACAAGACAGAGTTTTACAGAAGAGCGCTCTGCCCGGCCTCAAGCTGTACGTATGAGAAAGGCTCAGAAAAGCTGCTTGGATCGTGTTCACACCAACATTTGCACTGCATGAAAAAGAAAAAAAATTAGCTTCCTCATTCAATAAGACCACTGTGTGGGCACAGCCCAACACAGAGGTCAGCCCACCGAAAAAATAAAACTTCCTGGTTCTCATTTTGCGTTCTCTCCGGTACCTGGAACAACATTCCCACACCGACACGGCCCCTTGGGTTTGGCACCGGGGTATTTCCTGTACAATCACGTTCACCAGGTGGCATTTGTCGTTTTCCGATTGGTTGCAAACATCCGAGGGGGCAGGTCTTACGTAAGATAAGATAAAGGGAGAGTAGAGATTACCTGTATGAGAGTGGCATGCTGAATGAATGCAAAGAGAAACAAGTGTGTTGCGTCTGTGACTGACAGTGAATTATAACTCACATCCCTGCAGTGTTTTGATTTAGTTTCTGTCTGCATCTACTGTATCTGTTCATCTAAATGAACTGAAACCAAATGAGCTCAGTGCACCGTTGCTGACATGAGAGGAGAGCCGGCCACGCATTGAGACGAGCCACGCAGTCCGTTTTTGTACTTCGCTTTAAGGCGTCCGCTTGTTTTAGGACTATGAGGAAGCACACTCTACTGCAATGATGATGGTGGGTTGACGCTTGCTATGGCAGAGGTGTGGAGATACAGCCGTTTATAGTTTAAATTCATTCACTTTCAGTCAATCCATCTTTCAACCCTTTAAACTTCATTCGCAACACATCAAGAAGTAATGAAGATATTTTCAAAAAACAAAGTCGGGGAACTGAATAAAGTGGGATCTGTAACGAATGAATGAAAACAACGTCAGCCCCCGGGGCACGTTTCCTCATTATAATTCGTTCACACAACGAGACATGAATGACCACCATGAGGAAATGTACTTATTTCACACCAGCACAGAACAGTTTTAGACGTGAAGCAGACTCTACATCAAGACGTAGATACAAGGACTGCGTGTTCCAGTCACAGTGGATGAGACGAAAAGTGATACAAAGAAACAAAAAAAAAAAAAAAAGGGTTCCGTCCATAAAAGAGCCGCAAGAGTGGCAGCAATATGGCCGTTAGAACAAAAAAAAAAAAAAAGCAAACGTTCCACTAAACAACAGGCATGTGGTTAATAATTCAGCGAGTGTAAGAGTCCGTTTCAGAGAAGAGTTTCTAATATTCATGTGACATGATAGCCAAGACAGGAAATCTGGCTCTCACTGGGCACAGTGTTATTCACACTGCGAGGCACTACAGTGTTTTGTAATTCATAGCCGTGGTTTTTAGGCCAAGCAAGGACATATCGAGACCAACCCCGAGCTTCAGCGGCAAACTCAATAATTCAGGATTTATTCTCAAAAGCCAAACTGATACAAGTCTGATATTAAAAGATAATCCAATCAGCAGTCGTGAACCACACCCGCAGCCAGATGAATAACCAAAACTGTCAACCTCCAGCAGGGAGATCCACAGTTAAAGTAATTCAATCAGAAGTAATAGCTTTCTTCATTACCTGTTCATTGCATATGTAACTGTTCGGCATCGTGCAGAGTGTGAGGATCTTTAAAATCACTCTGGGAGCTTTTGGACGCAGCTTGCATAGAGGAGTTTAAAGAAATATATTGCGAAAAAGTACACCGCAGAAATAACCGAAACTTGCCCTGAGGAGAAAAATACGATGGTCAATAATACATTGACCCTGGCTGCCTGGGACTACTTTCATTTCAGGCCAAATGCAAGGGGCAAGGTGTTGGCTGCTTCAAATGTGTCTTTTCTCTCTGTTGGACATCTCGGTTAGACAGTCCTTACATGCAGGTGACCCGTCCCTCTGGGATGGTACCTGGCAGAGACTTCAGATACTTGACAGAGAACTCCTCTTTGTGTCATTTCACATTGTTGTTTTCCTCTGACATTTTCATTTTATTGTTTTCTCTCAGCACCTCCTGCACCGGTATCTCTTTTAGGGTTTTCACACAGAATATCTGTTTTTCTTGTCCTCATACGGTTCGTACTGGGAGTTATTCCAAGTCAGTGAGGTTTTAGTGCCAGCTTAGCTGGGTTAGACAAATTAAATGTGTTGCTAGTCAATCTACTTTATTTACTATATCTCATCAAAGCATAAGCCACCACTCTGGTACTCTATCACTTTACTTTGATAGTAGCTAACAGATTAAGTCTTTGCCAAAATAAATTGACACAGCAGGGCCACTACCCCATTTCGGATTACAGTCCCCAAAGGTTACACCTGAGGCCTCCAGACTATATGAAGTAGTCGTGAATCATTGGTATGATATTTAATTTGGAAAACAGCTCAGCCTGCTATAACATGGCAAAGAACAGAACAGAGGAAACATGGCGTGGCCTGAAAATTCATACAGTTAAGTCCCACGTGTATTGCGGGCCTCTCATCTTTTCCTGTTGCATTACTCAGGGGACAAATAGTTAAAGTGGGTCAGCCTAATAAATACTTACAATACATAGTATATAATAAAAAAGCTCCTTACAGTCAACGGTGTCCCTCAGGAGGGGATGGAGGAGACTTCTTGGTGATCCATGGTGTAGATTGAGCCTATAGGATACACATTGAGAGCAACCTGAGTGACTGAATGCCGCTATAGTTTCCAATGGGTTGAAGGCTGTGCTAGCTACATTCAATCCTAGTGTCAACAACTGGTGTCTGTTAGGTTTGTGCCCTCTGGTTCCCGCCTCAGACGACCATCAATCAAAACTAACAGATATAAATTCTCTTTCATACCCTCTGACATTTCACTGCTCAACTCTGTGAAGTACAGGTAGCAAACGTCTTCAACCATGCCTTTTCTAATATTGTATATTTTTCTCTCACCTGGTGTTTATGTGTTTTTAATATGTGGTTATGAATCTGTGTGTTTCCTATCTTGTGAGTCTTGCCCTGTGTTATCGTTTATGCTACTGCGGCAAAACCGACCAAATAAAGGTCTTGAACTTGGACGAGCTGACTGTTGACAACAGAGTAAACCCAAAACTGCTTTCACAAAGTAGTAGTTCTGCAAGCATGCTACATGTATGTATGGCAATCTTGCAGCTGCTGGATGATATTCAAGCAGCAACCCCCCCCCACCACAGCCACGCCTGTCCTTCAACCATCTCCTCATGATGAACCGAATTAATACCTGGCTGGTGTAATTAAGGATGGGATAATCACCTTCTGTCCCCGTCAGCAGCCTGAGCCTCTGGCCTGTTGGTAAAAAGTTCCAGGACAGTGAAGCCTCGCCCCAGGGCCTGCTGGGAGCCATCTGGCCTGGGTGACAACGACACCACTTCCAGGACCACTACTGCGCTGGGCAACCGCAGCGATGTATGGAAATACAGGACCTAAAGGAGTCATCAAACACAGAGAGGATTTACGTTATCAATGCCACATCTTTGATTTGTTCAGAATGCAGCTTGGATTTTATCTAATGTCAATGCTTCTGATCTAACCCGTAGTACATTGAATTACATACTATACTATAAAAACAGCATGTTGACTATCACAGGGAAGTGACACATAAACAAGAACAAGATGGTGCACAGTCCCACGGCCCTCAGCATCAACTCTTGCTGACAGTTTATGGCTGGTCATCATACGTGAGAGGATCCCTCACATATGGCACTGGGACTTTGGACACCTTGGCTGAAAATAACAAAGACTGCACTCATTTTCACCAGGTTTGTCGGATTTTACAACGAAAACATGCGCTATTGAATTAACTTGGAAGAACAAAAGAAGAAGAATAGGAAAAGGATGCCACAGTACCACAAACCTATTTTATTGTATCCATGTATTCCAGATGACTGGGATCCTGAATTTGGCTCCTGATGTCATATGAAGTCACCACTATTAAAGGCATATTACTTTAATCATTGTGAAAAAAGGTAACTGCTCATAGCAACCGCTACCACAGCTCAAAAGGAAAAAGACATCAGCAGAATGGATATGTTATTCACTATTGATTGGTTAGAGGAAAAGAAAATCCCCCCTTCCAACAAGACATGATGTCAGGCTGAATGACTGAAGTGAAACGAAATGGCAGTTAATTCTGATTAATTGGCAAAACGATTGTGTGCCTCCATTATTATTGTCGGGTTGTATCTGTGACTTAGAAAGATTAATAGAACTCGTTATTCCAGCCAATTATTGTGCTGCGTTTGATCCTCTGCGGTCATGCCATGCACGTTGGTGTCAATCACCATATTGCAGGTCTGGAAAAGGAGAGAGCCAAACATCCAGGCTTGATAAGAATACCTAACAGGCGACTGTGTGACACCGAAAATCTCACATTCAAGAGGCGGGTACGTGCCCTCGTGAGGTCTTTAGAATTATGTGTGTGTGGGGCGGGGGGGGGGGTATGACCTCGCTATTTTTACACAATTTCAGAGGAAGACAGTCGGGTCTTTTGGGAGCCTGTTTGTAGTCCGTGCCAGGTAGGTGCAATTGTTTACAGACTCGGATCTGCCATTCAAATAGGAAATAATAGCCTACCTACAGCCGAGCCGCACTGATTTACATGCACAAAAGGCATGAATATGATAAAGGGACCCACGAATTCTATGTGATCCGTTGGTTCCCGAGCACAATAAAGCCTGTTATTATGTAAAAGCCATAAAGAAGAACACGATAGTGTCAACAGACAAAAAAAAAAAAAATGGCATTAGCAGACATGAGCTACCTTGAAATACAGAGCCAATTTCTCCCAGCCCACTGTGGCAGAGGCTGTTCGTCTTCAAACCCCGGCTATCAGCCACCACAGAGCAGTCCATTCAAGTTTAAAACCTCTGAGGCGTTCCTATTTCGGCCACATCGGTCTTTTATCTCTGTGCAGGGTAGGTTTAAATTACTAGTGCAAATACAAACGCTGCAGAATACAAAAGAAAGACGTGGGAGGAGAAGATACTCGTCTAGCCACGGTTTGATTTAGTTAAATGTCTGGTTTGCTTGTTTTCATACATTCACCGGACTTTGCCAAGGATTTTTGAGATTCACAAAATAGCTCATGAAAACGGGGTTTGTCTGCTAAGACGAAAGTCTCCTGCTGGATGTGATTCAACATTAGCAAATGTTTGTGAAGGATTTATCAACACGGGCGATGAGACAGAACGGGATAAGTAACAATGTCTGGTAACTCAACACAGAGGCTTCGGAGTCTGTGAGGACAAAACTTTCAATTGGAACTTGTGCGGGAAAGTAATTTAATGAAATCTTAACACAACATCTCTGTTCAGATCCAACAACTGACTAATTTCTCAAAGTTTGCTTTATTGTCAATTCCACAATGTACTGGACATACAGGGGAGTTGAAAAGACGTTTCTCTCTAGTCCAACGTATAAACATATAAACATATAAAGTGAATACAGTGCAATAGATTAAAAAAACATTTAGGCAATAAATATATAATAAGTGAAAAAAAAACAAAAAAAACTATCAATCTGTATTTAGCAGCAGTTGGACATGGGGAGTCTTAAAAGAGAGGAGGGAGAGAGTTCAGAGAGTTCAGCTTCCTAACAGCCTGGTGGACGAAGCTGTTTGAGAGTCTGGTGGTGCGAGCACGGAGGCTCCGGTATCTTCTCCCAGAGGGCAGGAGGCTGAAGAGACTGTGTGAGGGGTGGCTGGAGTCGCGCACAATCGTGGTCACTTTGCGGGTGAGGCGAGTGTCGTATATATGTCCTGCAGGGAGGGGAGTGAGGGGAGTGAGGCACCAATGATCCTTCCAGCTGTGTTCACTATGCGCTGCAGGGCTTTCCTGTTGTAGTCAGTGCAGCTTCCGCCCCACACAGTGATACAGTTTGTCAGGATGCTCTCAATGGTGCCTCGGTAAAAAGGTGCACATGATGGGTGGTGGTGTTCCTGCCTTCTTCAGTTTGCGGAGAAAGTAGAGGCGCCTCTGAGCTTTCTTTGCCAGTGATGTTGTGTTGGCTGTCCACGAGAGGTCCTCACTGATGTCCACCCCCAGGAATTTGGTGCTGCTCAATCTCTCTACATCAGCACCATTGATGGTCAGTGGTGGGTGTTGAGTGTGGCCTCTCCGGAAGTCAACAACAATCTCCTTGGTCTTGCTGTTATTCAGAAGGACGTTGTTGTCTCTGCACCACGTGGTCAGAAGGCTGACCTCCTTCCTATAGTGGGTCTCATCGTCGTTGGTGATGAGACCTACCAGAGTTGTGTCGTCGGCAAACTTGACCATGTGATTGGTGCTGTAGGTTGTGGTGCAGTCGTGTGTCAGCAAGGTGAAGAGCAGTGGACTGAGCACACAGCCTTGAGGGGCCCTGTGCTCAGTGTGATGCTGCTCGAGGTGTTGTTGCCGACACCTTCTCGGTAACGGTGATGCACAATTTCTGGTACTGAACATGTATTCTGTGTGTTTGCTCAGCTTTGAATGCAGATAGATAGCCAAGCAAACGCTGGCTGAGCTGGGAAAGGTAAAAATATCCCCCATCCAAAGATGCATGTCATTCAGTATTCATGGACTGAGAAATTTTACCTCCAACCATAACTCCCAAATCAAAGCCTCATCTGTGATTGAACTTCTCTTGAACCTATCCCAAGCTGTATTAACGAGACATTTTCCCCAAGCCCCCCCCGGTGATAACGTGGGATTTGCATATTTGCATTGTGGTCAAAGACGTAGTCCCCAGTCTCAGAGCGGTCCAAACGTGGACATTGTTCACGACGGATTTCCAATTCAAAAGGTAGAATTTCTTTTTCATCTGCCTCACTGCTTTGATATAGCTCCAAATTGATTCTGCTCCAATCTCAGGAAAAAAAATAAGAAATAAATAAACACTGTCCCCACGGAACAAATATCTCTCCGACTCGATTTGCAATAATTTAGAATTTCAAAGGATGCAGTAAATGCTCAAGAAAACCACTATCACTAGTTATGAATATTTTTTCGACAGACGAGCTGAACTAAGGATAAAATAGTGTCAAGTGTTTTTGATTAAACATTTTTTACCTAGATTCTCGATACATGAGCTGATTGGTACAGTGTTCCTATGACAGCATGCTTTAGCTGCACCCCGCACAGCCTTTTTTCATCGCTTTTTCCAGTACTAACTCACAGATTTCTTAGATGCCCTGTGTTGTTTAGATCCTGCTTCAGAGCAGCTGCCCTGAAGCATAATGGTGCTACATCTTTCACCGAGTTGGGAGGCAGTGCTGCAAATTAGGAGTGAATGGACTGCAATGCTTTGGAAGGAGAAGAAAGGTGTGTGCGCCAATAGAAGTCAGTTAGATTTAGTTGTTGATACAACTTGTTGATATATGCCCACAAAATTCACTTCTGTTGGCACGCACCTTTCTTCATATCCTGTCAGTACAGATATATTCGTTCTCACATTCAAATATTCGACAGTGACGCTTACTTCAGTTTGCCTGAGAGAAAGCACAAAATGTGCCCCTGTTTCAAGGCCAACAGAAATGACTATACTTTTCCCCAGAACTTTACGTCACGGCAATCTCATGAGATCTCGCTCCTTCCCGACGCCACAGGAGCACTGCGAGATGTCATTGAGAAAACAGCTTGCATCGGCAGCAATGCCAGGCGCAGCATATGTCGGACCTAATGGGAGGTTATAGTGCGCAGCGACTGTCAACAAAGCAGTAATCGATTCTCACAGGGGTAAATATCCACCCCCTCTCCACACACACACACACACACACACACGCACATGCACACACATGCACAACTTGAGTAAAGAGGGGCTAACAGCATTGTGGTGACATTAAAACATCATCAGCACAGAGGCATGGAGCTTGAAGTCACTGTCACTAGCAACAACCAGCCTGTCTGCAGCTTCTGGGGTTTTTTGCTGAGACCCCTTTGTGGGTGACAGAGAACCAAACTATGACAGGAAAGAAGGCAAATGAAAGTGAGCGGGAGCTGCTGGGAGATGTAAACCAGAGAGCGGGAGAGATAAAGGGAGAGGATTGTGGCTGTGGTTCTGCCGTGAATCGTTTCAGATCCGTCTCACGGTAAACTGGTTTTAGCAGGTAGCAGGTAAGAACTGTGTCCTGGTAAAAGAATGAACTTTAATCATAATACCTTGAGACAAAAATCATGTTGTGGGGTGACAAGGGGGACATTTAATAGACAATCTAATTAATTACACAACATAAATACAGAGAGAAAGTATATATATATATATATTAGTAATAAAGCTGACTTATTGTCTTCTTAAAGTGATTACAAAAACACAGTGATTTGCAATGCATATAAAACTTGCTTTTTGAAAAATCTGAATACAAAAACCTGTGTAATAGCTTCATAGAGTCCATTTAGTGGCTGCTGGTGCGAAACAAACAATTATGAGCCTCTCATGGTGCTCTCAGACT